GCATACACAAGATTTGTCTCCCCAGGAATGTAGAAGGGTCTGTTCTAAATCCCATGTGTGCCTTCCATCTGCAGTCCTGGGCAGGGCTCACAGCTGCTTGCTAGGAAATCATCACCAAGGCCACAAATCCTCCCGGCTCCCCTGTGCATCCACAGCATCTTATGTCCACTCCCCCCAGCCCAAATCTCCCGTTACCATAACTAATAACTTCCCTAACCATGCTGCCACGGGAGCAGGACCCATGTCTTCCCAACACTCCCGATAAAACAATAACCACACTTGGTGTTTCAGTCACTGCTAACAAGAACATCGCATTTCCTCACTTGATCCTTGCAACATTATGAGGAAGGTGGCTAGCATTATCTCCAGCTCACAGAGGGGACAAGCTCAGAGAGGTGAAGTGGCTTGCCCAAGGTCACCGAGGAGGTGGGGACCAGAGCCAGGACTCAGAGCCAGGTCCGGCTCTCCCCACATGCCCACCCCCAGAGTGCTTTATCACCTCTTCAGCTCCAACATAGAGCAGAGGGCTGAGCACGAAGCAGGAACTCGACAAATATTTGTAAACTGAACAAAACCTTAACAAATTCTCGTTGCATGAATACAGCTCTTATACGGAAGAGAATCCAGACACCACCATCCGCTCCATGCATTCTGATGCACTGATGTCGTTTGTTTTTTGGAGGGGTTTTGTTTCCTCCAGCAACGCGAGTGGGTGGCAAGGAGGTACACAGAGTCCCCTGGGGAACTGTTTCTGCACAGCATCTCAGATGTGAGGTGGGGAAACATTCTAGAACAAATAGGTTCTTGTTATCACAACACCACTGAGAGAGGTGGGCAAAGACTCTGGATCCCATTTAACATATGACAAAACTCAGACCCCCAGAGTCAAGGGACCTGTTTGCAGTCACTCAGAGAAGGAGGGCCCACACCAGCTGTCTTGATGTCCATACAGGAGACTTACAATTCCCTGCTCCCCTACTTCCAAAATGCCCGGCTCTGAACACTACAGCCTCGTCAAAAGGATAGAGGGTACGGCTCTAGGGAAAACGTGTGGCAGCCTCACTCGATCAGACGGCCGGGCTCTGAATTCTGGCAGAGACCAAAATGAAGCTTCCTGAGGCAGAGGCCTCAGCACCCCACACACCTCCTCCCACCTCCCCTTCCTCGTTTCTGCACCCAGCAGGCAGATCGTCAGATCACGTGGGCTGAACCTCCACAACCAGGCAGCTCTGCGGAGGAAATGCAGGGAACTTCGCAGGCCCTACGCCCTGTTGGCAATTGATGGCTCTGGCTGGGAATGGGGTTCTCAGAGGACTGTGACCCTCAGAGGGCCTCCTGGCCAGGGAGTGAGTGATTGGAGACCCCCTCAGCCCAATCTCCACTGGAGACTCAGGCCCCTGGCTCGGCGATGAAAGGAGGTAGAGTGGACCCAGCCCCAGTCTGGAAGGCAAAGCCCTCTGGTCCTTTGACTTCCCGTGGAACCTTGGGAAAATCACAACCTTTTGAACCTCAGTTTCTCCATTTGTCAAACAGGTTCATACTACCCTCCTTTGCTACCTCTGGGGGTAAATGCTCATCTCCAAAGATAAAATGATACCACTTGACTTTATGCCTATTTACGATTAGCTCCCCCACCCCTGGCGCTGACTCAAGCTGTCCAGGGTGTGTTCTCGTGGTCTGGAGGTCAGTCGCCCTGGCCTGACTGATGGTGAGTGTGATTGCCCGTGGCAACTGGAATCAGTCTACATCCAAGGGACAAGGTCGAGTCTTAGCTGTGAAGGCAGCCAAGGCAGTTTCTCAGGAGCAGTATTAAGCATCATCACAGAAGGGGGATGAGGCAGGGGGTGAGGAACCACAGAGATGAGGCTGGTCAGGAAGCAGCAGCAGGGCAGTGAGGCCACCTGCTCAGGAAGAAGCCCTGTTCTTGTCAGGGGACATCCACCCCATACAAGGCCTGGCAGACCACAGCCCACAGAACATGGACCAGGCTGCCAGGAGTCCACGTGGCCAGAGCCCGGAGGGAGACAGGCCTGTGTGGCCGAGAGCAGACCCAGCACCAGCACTCTTCAGCCTGTAACTGAATCCTGGGTCAGTCTGGGATCAATGTGCTCAGAAGTACCATGTGTATGCACTTGGTTATATCTTGCCTTGTTCCAAGAAAAATGATTTAAGACATACACAAACCCATAAGGGATTTACAAGGCTACCTAAAGTACTGCAATAAAACATAAATTAGAAATTGATAAGAAAGTACAGAGGCAAAACAGAGGAAAGGACATTAAATGAGACAGAAATATGACTAGCTCAGAAACGAGGACTACAAAGTTCTAAACGTTGTTTCAGAGGATCCAGATTGTCGATCTGAGCTTCCTGGTAGCAACTGCGAAAGGAGAAACCTGCTCAGTTACACGATCCCATAAAATAAAATATAAATATATAAATAAAGCCTGATATTTAGGGAAATCATAACTGCTTCTGATTATAGAGCAGGAATATTTCCTGGCAGTCTTCATTATAAAATTCTATGAATAGGCACGAAACAAATCTCATGGAGATGTTTTCTGGGGAGTGACATCATACAAAGAGACAATTCAAGAGAAGTAGTCCTACAGGGACCAAACTAATATGCTATGGAAGCCATCCTCTCCTGGCCTAGCTTAAGGTACTGGCAGATGAGGCTGGGATATTTTAAGCAGGGAGCATTATTACTATTACTGCTAATAGCATTGGTTGCTATTTATTTATTTATCTAAAATTCTTTCACGCCACCTATACTTACTGAGCACCTAAGTAATGCCAGCATTGTACAGGGCATTAGAGAAGCAGAGGTGAGCAGGACAGACATGAACCCTGGCCTCCTAGGGCTCGAGGTCTTGGAGGAGAATCTGTAAGTAAACAGGCAGTTACAGACCACAATTCAACAAGGGTCCTGATGGGAAGCCCAGGTCACTATGGGAGGACAGAGAAAAGGTCTAATGCTGCACATCAGGGAAGACTGCCTGGAGGAAGTGAGGCCTGAGGTGGGCCTGGGAAATACCTGGCAGGTGAAGAAGCAATGGCTAGACCACCAGAAATCAGCATGCCAAAGAACCCATCATTGCCCAGAGACACCACTGAGAACAGCCTTAGGAGGGGCCCCAGAGGCCAGGCCTGGTTGGGTTGGGTCCCTCACCCAGCCACTGTCAGGATCAATCTCAGGCAGAACTACAAGTGTGGCCAAGCTGGGAACAAATGCCCCAGCATCCTCTCTGGGCCCTTCCAACTCATGGGTGCTGCCCCTTCCCCCATTCTCAGAGCTTGGCCCTGCTGCCCAGGAATCATGGATATCAGGCCCTCTTGGTTTGTTCACAGTCAAGACAGACTCAGCTTGGAGAGAAGCAGCAGGCAGTCCTGAGAACAAGCCACTCCTGGATATGAAAACAAACTCGATTGTTTTAGAGCTGAAAGTGCCCTTCGATATCAGCCAGCCCAACTCCCTCATCTTATGGAGGGGGAAACTGAGACACAGAAAGGGGAAGTTATCCAAAGCCACACAGGCTGAGAAGTCCAGAAGTCCAGAGGCAGGAGAGAGCAAAAGTAAAGAGGAGACCAGGCAAGTCAGCCAGGAGCCCTAGGGGGGAAGAAAGAGGAAAATTCCAGAAGAAGCTCGACAAGAGGAGAACAAAGGGCCTATATCTGAGGCCATGGACACGAGCCACATCCGAGATTTGCAGTTTTCTCATCTGTTCAATGGCAATAATACTGACCTGCCCCACAGGGTTGCTGGGGGAACTAGAGGGTACCTTGTAAACTGTAAAGTCCTGTGCACCTGGAGATGGCACAAGGGCCCAGGAAGAGGGTGACTTCAAGGATAATAATGAGCCACACCAGTCAGCGTGCTTGCTATGTGCACGGCACTGCTGACAATGACCCTCTGACGAATGTAACCATCACCCCCATCTTACAGACTAAAGAAACTGAGTTAAGTAGCTTGCCCAAGACATCAGAGCCAAGAAGAGGTAAAGTGGGGGTCAGGACTCTTAATCACACACAAGAGGGCCTGAGGCAGATCCAGAGTTGGGAACTTATTTCTGAGAAAGGAGTGGGCGGAGGAAGCTGAGCTGATGCAACCCCCAGGAGATACAGAGCCCCCCACCACCACCACCAATCCTGTACCCTTCCCCTGGAGCAATGATTTGCATGGAGAGTGTGAGCCCAGCCAGCTGCCCAGGGGCCATGAGGAAAAGATGGTCTGGTTGGGACCTCTGAGATGACTGCATGGTACGTCCCAGCTGGCATAGCTGTACTGGTTATCTATCGCTGCGTAACAAATCACCCGAAAACATGGCACAAAACAATTTACCCTGCTTCCAGATTCTATGGGCCAGGGGTTCAGACAGAGCATAGCAGGGATGATTGGTCTCTGCTCCATGATGTCTGACGCCTCAGCTGGGAAAATGCAAACAGCTGGAGAGGCTAGATGGCTGGGCTCAGCTGGGACTGTTAACCAGGGCGCCTAGACACGGACTGTCCATGTGACTCGGGCTTCCTCACAACATGGCAGCCTCAGGTCAATGATTCTTATTTCTTACATGGTGGCTCAGGGCTCCAGGAGCAAATGAGCTCCAGTGAACAAAAGGAAAGCTGCATGGTCTTTACTGACTTAGCATCACTTCTGCCATTCTCTGTGGAGTGAAGCAGTCACAAATCTGCCCAGACTAAAGGGGAGGGGACATAGAGGTTATTTCTCAATAGGAGGAGTGTTGAAGAATTTGTGGCCATGTTTTTAAACCACCACAGTCGCCATAGGTGGCCCAGCAGCCTGATAGGGGAGCATGGCAGGGACCCACCCCTCTGTGGCAGATTCACAGAAGCTGAAGGAAGTCACATTCAGTCAGGACGGACCCAGGACCCAGCCAGGACCATCTAGGCCTCCTCTACCTGTAATACTGGGCTCTTGCACCCCACCTTTGACTCGAAGCCTCCCCCAGAATGATGACAAGGTTAGACCAGGTACTCACAAAGGCAGGGCTTCATCGCATCTCTGCTATGGCAGGATGACCTTGAGTGAGTCATATGACCTCTCAGGGCCTTGGACTCCTCACTGCATCATGGTGAACGCTGCCTCGCTTCCAGGTTTCTGGGGAGGAATGGAAGAGGGAACATATGTGAAACCCAGACACCAAGTAGGCTCCCAGGGAACACTGGTCTCCTTCCAGGGAGAATTGGGTGGGTGGGTGGGGGGGGGGTTGTCACATGCAGGGAGAGGATCTGAGTGCCTGACTCATGGGGTTCTTGCCCAGGGACTTCACCAGGGTAGCGTGTCTGCACTGGAAGCTACAACAGGCACCTCTCGGGCCTGTGGCTCCCGGCTCTAATTACAGCTTTCTCGACAGGTTTCCTGTTGGGATCTGGCAGGGTCCCCTTAGAGGAGTCACGGATAATGAGCAGCTGGCGGCAGAGCCTCCATCCATGGGGACATTGACCCCAGAGCAGGCCTGAGCAGGCCTCCCTAGAAGGACAGAAGGCCCTCAAAGTTCCCGGTCTCAATCCTGCCCTATATACACACACATACACACACACACACACGACCACCACCATGGCCACCAGATTTCCTGGTCTCTGCTTGCACAGCTCCAGTGGCGAGGAGCTCACTACCTTACAGGCAGCTGGTTGACCTCCAGACAGTTAGAAGCACATCCCAAATCAGACTGCCCTTCAGCTTCTAGCTGTTGATTCTCAGGTCCTCCAAGATCCTGGCAACATGGAACAGAAGAAAGCGCCCAGCTTCTGGTGGCAGGAGGAACTGGGTTCACATTCTGACTCTATCATATCTCAGGTTCTGCAGTCTTAGTTAAGTCCCTTCACCTCTCTGAGCCTCAGTTTCCTCCTCTGTAAAATGAGAATAGCACTACCCAGGGGGAAGGGAGTTTGGGAGGGTGAAATGCCCAGTGCACGATAGATGCCAAATGAAAGTCGTGTCCGCCCCCTTCCCTCTTGTACACTTTGCATTAGGGTGGCTTCAGTAGGCTCAGATTCAAACAAGCAACTGTCCCGCAGAAGCACTGGACCACCTGGAGAATCAAGGCGACAGAAGCCCACTTCCTCAGAGCTTCACTGCAAGCTGGAGGGGGCAGGGTGGGGGCAACCTTGCCCATTTCAACTTCTAGGTGCAACTGAATGTCTACCAGATAAAAAATGGGCTGATGGATGGATGGAGAGACCGACAAACAGACAACCGAACAGTTTCGGTAAGTTTCTAAGTCTAACCAGGAAACACCCACCCTCTTTTAATCCCAGCCTTGCTGGATGTCATATTTTTGCTGAGCAAGTGTGTAAAGCAGTGATTTTTAAACTTTTATAAGCATCCAAGGAGGATGCTTGTAAAATGCAGATTCCTGGGTCCCACCTCCAGGGATTTGGACGCTGTGGGTGTGAGGTGGGGCCCAGACTCTGCATTTCTAACCAGCTGCCGGCTGATGCTATTGCTGCTGTTCCTTGGGCCATGCTTTGAGAAGGGCTGGAGCAGAGCAGAGCCACCGACTTCAACACTCTTTGAATGCCAAGCCGGTGTCCAGGGTGGCGTCCCTGGCTTGGGGCATTTCTGCAGGAGGGAGGAGAAAGCTGCCCCTCTCAGCCCTGGGACGCAAAGGGCGATGGGATACCACCACCACCTCCCACCTCTTCCAATATTCTGCTCCCGTCTCCATCCCACATTGAAGCAGCCGGCCTGGGCTCTCTTCAAAGCTGTGATGGCATCGTTGCCGACAGGGCTTACGTCCAGAATGAGAGCACCTCCCTGCAGGGAGTTCAGGCTGCACAAAAATCCCATTAAATAGGTGAGGTGTGCAGAGGCCACGCAGAAGAGCCGCCCACGACAGGCCTCCCTGCAGGAGGGAAGAACCCCGGAAAGGAGGGAATTGAGTCTCCTGGCTTCCTAGACACACACATACACACACACACACACACACATGCTTGCTTACATGCACACTCACACAGGCACACACACACACATGCACGCAAGCACGTGCCACAGAGGAGGACCCAGACCCTCCCACAGACACCCTTCCTCGCGTGGCTGATGGCAGCAGAGCCTCTGGCCAGGATTCAGCTCACGTGCTAACTTGCTGCACCACCTTAGACAAGTCTCTTCCCCTCTCTAGGTCTTAGCTTCCCCGCCTGAGGTGGCTGGCCTAGGCCTTGCCTAGGGAAGGAACTGGCATTAACTGAGCCACCATTGCATTCATTTATTAATTCTTTCATTCAACAGGTATCTATAGAGCAATTCCTGTGAACCAGTGAACCAGGATCTGATTATAGCACCGAACAGAAGTGAAAGGAAGCTCGTGCCTCATGGAGCTGGCCCAATTCTTTGCACCGCCTGCTTTATCCCTTTTATCTCATTTCACCTTCACCTTCTCGTGTCACCTCCAGACAACCACGTGAGCTGGATGTCCTCATCCCTGCTTTACAGATGAGGAAACTGAGGCCTGGAGTAAGTGGCAGAGCTCGGGTTCAGAGCTGGTGTTCCACAGACCATCACATGGCCCCGAGACCTCTGCCCTAACCAAGCCCCACTTCCTCCCAGTCTCTGCTGGGTGGGGGTCATTCCCTCCAGAGTACTCCTCCCCCCAACTCTCCAGGGTCCACCGCCTCACAAGGAAGTAGAAAGGTCAGTAGCCATGGGGATGACTGTTCCCACCCCGCCCCAGATTTGGGGATTCCAGGGCTTCTACCACGGCCCCCCGTTCCACCGATTGCAGGCTAGGCTGCTCAGACCCTCCCTCAGCAGTGGGTGCCTGGAATCACTGGGTGCTCTGGGAGCGCTGGCAGGCCTTTCTAAGTCCCTCATCCCCACCCACCCTGCCCATCACCTACTCCGAGTGCCCATACATGACCCACGAGGTAGAGCGAGCCCATGGCGCAGGCTCTAACACAACACGGCTCCCCAAATGAGACAAGTTCTGCCTCTGTGCACTTATCCAGTTTTGCAATCCAGAAACTAGAAAGGGGCTAATTTAATTTCAACATACAAGGAAGCTTAGTGTTGCTATGGAAAGTAAACTTTATCCTGAGTTATGCAGGGTGGGAACAAGCATCTTCTCAGAGCTCAGGGCCCTTAAGGTCTCAGCCAGCCTTGGCCACATGCCTCTCTGTTCCACTTTGAAGATGTGCCCAATCATTTCCCAGGGCCCAGAAAACTCCCTCTCCCCTCTGCCTCTCGAAAGATGCCCATCTGCCGTGGCTCCATTCACCTTATATGTCTTCCAGGAAGCTGCTCTCGGCCCACTCGCTCTCCTAGTTCCCACTGCTCCAGCTCACAGCTCTCAGGACTGAGCTCTTGGGCCTGGTGTTCGGCCTGTGGCTGATTGCTGGGTTCCTGCGGCATTTGTCAGATTGAGGAGCCCGTGCAGGGGTCATATCAGGAACGATCTAAGACACCTATACTTTCAGAGGCTCTACAAGGTCGGAAGGTGTTGCTTGCCTTATTTACCCTCTTCCTTTTGCAAACCTACAGTGGAGTTTTCCAGAGGCTTCAACAGATTGAATGCAGAAGCAGACATGAGAACCCAACCGTCTTCTCTTAAGTGAACCATTTTTTAAAAATATTTATTTATTTATTTATTTTGGTTGCGCCAGGTCTTAGTTGCAGTGGGCGGGCTCCTTAGTTGTAGCATGAGAACTCTTAGTTGCAGCATGCGAACTCTTAGTTGTGGCATGCGAACCCTTAGTTGCAGCATGCATATGGGATCTAGTTCCCTGACCAGGGATCAAACACAGGCCCCCTGCATTGGGAGAGCAGAGTCTTATCCACTGCGCTACCAGGGAAGTCCCAGTAAACCATTAAAGAGAACTGTGAAAACATACAGTGGTACCACTCTTAAATTTTTTCATTTTAGAAAATAGTTATTTGTCCTGAAAAATACGTTAATGATTGATATGTAATGAGTTATTCTCGTTGTTCTTCAAGAATAAATATTTTATGATTTCTCAGCTTCATTTCGAATGTGGTAAATATCAATAGACACAACCCCATAAACAAAAACTCTTTTGGGTCCTCAGTAGTTTCTAAGAGCATAATAGGTCCTGAGACCAAGTTTGAGACCCTCTGGGTGAACGGAAAGTGCCCATCCAACCGCCACTGACTGCATGAGAGCTGGGGCCTGACAACGGGCAGCTGGGGCAGGGGACCTGGCAGGGTGGGAAGCCGACCTTGAACTGGGAAATAAGGAGTGAATTGGGCAGGCAGCTGGGGGAGAGGGCCTGAAAGGAGGTGTGGACAGAGGCCCAGTGGAGAGTGGAGCTGCCAGGCAGCCACATCCGTGAGGAGCAGGGGTCCAGCACAGACACACAGAGAGGAAGAAGGGAACGTGGGAGTCGGCGTGGGACAGACAGAGCAGAGAGCTGGGAAGGAGGAGGCCCACTGAGGGTGATGCCAGCACTGCAGCCCCGGGGGGTTCTCTGCTGCACGGGGTCCCAGCTCCTGAGGCTCCACACCGCAGTCCAGCCTTGTCTGCAGCCCAGGGAACTGGCTCACCCCAGGCCCCCACGATGTGCCTCTTTTCATTCAGCCCTCCCTTACTTGAGGTCAGCTGAGTACCTCTGTGCTTTGCCATCCTCAGAGCCCAACCAAAACAGCCTTGAGTTCTATCCTAGCTCTGAAACCCTGGGCAAGTGCAGAGCATCCGTCCTCTTGTTGTCAACATGGAGATGGTAAATCCAGCTCACGGCTCAGGGGACGACTGACATCAGAACACATGCGGGGGCCTGGCACGTGCTGGGCCCTCAACAGGTGCAGCTAATATTAGTATGCCTGCTCCTGCCTCGATGGCTACTGTTATTATTAGTGGTGGTATTAATATCCCAGCAGGAAATGATCTTCAAGGTCACAGAGCTGCCGATGTTACTGAGGGACAAACAGGAAGGCCAGGAGCGGTCAGAAGCAGAGCTGGAGTCAGGAACCCAATGCATCCCAGTGAGACTGAAAGCTCCTGGGGGCCGGGGACATGGCAGCAATGTCCACACTCACGACTCCATCCATTCCTTCTCTCCGCTGTTAATTTTTTGGACACATCTCATGGGCCAGGCACTAGGCCAGGTGCTGTCTGCCCGTGGGCTTGGCCCCAAATTGGTTCAATC